GAGTAGTTAGTTAAAAAGAAAGTAAATGTACTAAATAAGTGATTTTTGTATTATATGACAAATGACTAGTATATGTAAATTAAAGACAATCCGTATATTAATCGAAATATAGATAGTGAAGTAATAGTATAATCGTAGTTAGTGTACTTTTTTTTAGGGTTTTTTTTTTTACATGTTAGCATTAATAATAAAAGAAGGACAACAAAATTGACGAGACAATAATCATGATAAATAGTAATTAATGAGTATAAAAGGAATTAATTACCGAATAACCGGTAATAATTAAATGAATCTATATAGACTAATAGAGAAAGAATTTGAGAAAATCGAATATCATGGATCCAATCATTTCGAGTCCAAATAATTTAAATAAAATGATAAAATATGAAAAATTTATAGTGCATTTTGGGATGAAATTTAGGATCGACTCGTTATTATTAGGTTTTATAGCTAATTCCATACCTAGAACACCATAGTAAAGACACAATGCCTTATTGGTTTGCATTTATTGCACTTTGAATATAGATCAACGGCGATAATATTCTCGACCTATTATGTCCTAGGTTTGAGGTGTTACATCTTGTGTGAGTGTTTGAGCTGCGTGGATAATCAATAGAGGTTGGACACTTGGACGGTTTCTTTTCGCATAAATTGTTTTTACGCTATAAATGGTAATCACTCACTTTAACCCTATTCATGTTTATATATGATCAGTTGATTCAACGACATGATCTTAGGAATCCAAGATAGTAGGAAAAAATTATTTATTATGCACCTTCATAGGATGCATGATCCTTCGAACGATCACTTCCAAGCACTCGCAATAGTCCAATCTAGCAGGTGCCACCACTACCGACGACCAAAACCTTCTAATCCAGCAGCCCACTATCCAATCATCAACGACCATCACTAGTCATTCAGCCATGATCCGATCACCAACAGCTATCTCACCTCACACTCGGGTCCGGATCCGACAATGGACGGTTGTCACTTCTCCCCGATTGATTGAATATTCAATCTCCATCGAGGTTGAAAAGATCGAATCGACTCTAATTTGAAAGTAAAAATTCTTCATCCATTTCTTATTTTTAGCAAGTAATTTATTTTTAACCTCTTTAAATTTAATCTATATTGAATTTAATTTGTACTATTGTGATTATAAATTAATTAAACTACTCGTTGTGATAATGTGATCATCGGATTGATGTTCTTAAGATGCATCATAATGTACGAAGCCCCCAAAAAGTGTTGAGACCCTATGAAATATCAAGACGGAATAGGAAACTAATTATTCTATAATTATTTGTTGTTGCTTAATGTAATTGTATTGCGTTGGTCCGAATCTCATTTTTTGGACCATTTTTGCTAATGGTAACATTAAGTCGCACATGCATCAATTTTATCTAAAAAATATAATTTTGTATCGTGCTAGTCCGAACCTCATTTTTTGGACCACTTTTTGTTAATTGCAAGGATTAATTTTTATATTGTGTCAATTTTACCTAAAAAATATGATTTGAGTTGTCTCTGGTCCGAATCCCGTTTCTAGACCCCTTTTTTTTTTTTTTTTTGCCAATTCTAACAATTAATCGATATTGTGCCAATTTGTCCTAAAAAAATATGATGTTTGAGTTATGTCGATCTTAACCTTTGTTCGAACCATTTTTGCCCATTTTGCCTAAAATGTTGTCTCAAAAAATCATGACTTTTAAGTCATGTCGGTCTATACCTTGGTATGAACCATTCATGTCAACATTGCTCGCCATGCTAATTTTACTTACCAAATTTATTTTTCATGCATTTAAGAATCATGACATTTGAAATTATGTCAATGTGAATCTCAATTTTAGATCATTTTGGCCAATTTCAATAATTTTGCTGATTTTTGCCTAAAAAATCACAAATTTTGAAATTATGTCAATTGGAAACCCATTTTCAAATTACTTTTATCAACTTTAATGACTTTGTACCGAATTTGTCGTTTTGATCTCTTTTGTCATTTTTGCCTTTTTTTACAATTCTTGCCATTATTGCTTATTTTACCTATCTTGCCTATTTACCTATTTTTAAGCTTTTTTTTCATGTATGCCATTTAGATTGTACTAGTCACATATTCTTGCGCACTCATCATGTTTTTTTCATGTCATATTCCTATCCATTCATTACTGAGTGAGGATGAGGTATTTGACCTAGTCAAGTACCAAATGACTTGTACCATTGACAAATGTTTGGAAAATAGGCATAGATTCTCATCATTAAAAAATAAAAAATCAGAAATCAAGTCAAATTTGTATGCAATACAACTTACTTTAGGCGGGATGGGGTAGGATGATTTTTAATCTTCCTTATATGTAATAAACCGCTTACCTAGAACTTTTCACGGACTAGTTATATGGTTTCTTAGTAACCATAATACCGGGTGACGACTTATTCATCTTTGCATGTTTCCCTATTTTCCAAAATCATCGCATTTGCCTCGACGTCCCTCTACGACAATTGAGTCCCTCCATTTTGACGCTACTAAATATTCATCCTACGTAATAAGTTAAAACTAATAATATTCAATCGGATAAGAACACGCAACGATGTGGATCCTAATCATTTCAGTATACAATCGAGCCAAAAAAAAAAAGCTTTTCAATAATTTGAATAATTGAAAAAACATTAGTTTAATATTAAAAGATGAAAAGAGAGAGAAAAAAAAAAAAAAAAACCTAACCCCATTAATCCTAAACTAAATTATAAATAAAAAAAAAAAAAAACAAAACAAAACGAACAAACAAACACTCAAATTTCAAAATGGCAAGTTTCTCCCTAAAACCATGCCCATAGCCACAATTTGAGTTGTAATCCTAACAAAAAATCTTTGAAACTCCTTCAACTCTCTCTATAATCCCAAAATTTGAAAACAGGGAATTCTTATCTTTCTTTTTCACTTGTTATAGGCATGACAGCTGCAGCAGCAGCCATTGGCTTGGCTTTGATACTTGAATTCCAAGTGAAAAACCATAACCTTATTGATTAGACCATTTCGATATTTCTAAGAACAAATCTCACAGATCCTAATTCAACAACACCAACATCAGTAGCCACCAACACAATTGTCTAAAATCCCACGGAGGCCTAACACTTTCTTGGACCATCTTTCCTTTAGGAAATGAGAAATAAATAGATGCCAAAAAGAGCATCTCAGTATCAGTAAACTGGTCCCATCCCAAGGCATAATTATCCTCATCTGATTTGCCAAACAACGTTTGCAGCTTCTGAATTACTCTTTCTCATTCCTTTCTTTTTCTGTAACTACAAGAAACCTTAATGAAAAATCTCAATTTAATCTATTATTAAGGAAAGGAAGTCCCATCACACCTCCTCTTGCTTATAGTCGAGGCTGTGGTGGTTTTGCCATTGTGAAAAGCTATTGTTGTGGCTATAAATTGCTGCTGAGGCCAAGAAACAAGAGAGCTGGGTAGTGGAAAGGTTGTTAATGGTGTTTGGTTTGATTGGTTTGGGTAATGGAAGTTTTCAAATTTAAGATGAAGGAAAGTTTGAGTGGCTGGTCTATAATGCACGATGATGATGGCTATCGGATCACGGCAATAGGGAGAAGGTCTGTCTTTGTAAGAGGATGATAGTGGTTCTAGACTTGTAGGAGTTAGAAGAGAAATGGTTGCTATTGACGACAGTAATGGTGTTTAGGTAGCTTGGTGTCTGGTTTGATGGGGCTTTGATTTTTTTGGATGGTTGGATTCCAACAAAAGATACAGTAAGGGTAGGGGCAGTTTCATCATTTGTATATACTAATAGATAGTTTAATAATAAAATTTTTTAAAATTTTAACAGTTTCTTCTTTTTTTTTCTTTTTAATAAAATATTACGATACTCGGACTCACAAAATAATGTGTCTATTTATGATTAATCATTATTAATTTTAATATATTATATTAAATAAATAATTAACAAAAAATCTGAATCAATAAATATATAAAAATAAAATTTTTTAATTAAACTAAAAATTATAGATAATCTCAATAAAAAAATTCCAACTATATGACTATCAAGAAACCTTTAAATATTTAAATTGTATTGGACCTTTCATTGAATAAAATTTTAAGAAAATTCTAACTTAATTGAGAAATTATCATATGTATGTTTTACACTCATGAATTTCCTTGCAATCCAATTAGCATCGTTCTTGGAAATACCTAAAACTCCATCGTCTCCGGTATAGATACGATGGAGATGTTGAAAATATGTGTTTTCTATTGATTGTGTGGTTAGCCTGATATAGAGAGTGTACACACATCACCAATCTTTTGAGCCAAAAAAAATGCGTGTGCATATATATATATATAGAGAGAGAGAGAGATCCGAACCCATAAACATTAGCCAGATGCAGAACCTCAATAAAACCCGACCCAAAATACCTTACTAATTACATCAGTTGCAGGCCACACGCCCACATCGTACTTGAGAAAGAGTAAAGATTCGGTAACAGGATCTCGTCGGCGAAATCGGAAATAACGAAGCCAGCCAGCCAGCCAGCCAGCCTTACTTCCTTTTTCAAACAGCCACTTCAGGTATTCTTTCAAACTTCACCTGTTGTCTTGTCTTCACATTGGACAAAAGTAATGCTATGCCTTTTTAGATTAATGTAATGAACTCTTTAATTTATCTTCTTCTTCTTTTTTCCCTCAACTGTTTGATTTTTCAAAGGATACAAGAGACAAAGGAAAACTCTTTAAACAGCTGGAATCACTTTCAAAATGATAAAAATCAAATGCCCAATTCGAAACTTATATGTTATAGATTTGATCTTGAATAAGAGATAAGAGAAGAAGAAAAGACTAATCTTTTCTTTGAGAATGTCATTTGAATGCTTCCCCCTTTTTTTATTTCCTTTTAGATTTGGAGTTTAGTTTTGTTAGTTATGAATAGGACATGAAATTGTAATTGAATGTTGGTCTTTTTTTCTTAGAAGTGAAAGGAGCTGAGCCTGAGATATGGTTATAGCTGTTGTGGCATTGATTTTTGGAGTCTTATTGGGAGGTTTTATTTTGATTCCTAGAAAACGTAAATCTGGTATTGTTTATTTCTCTTCCTTTCGTGATTTCTTCTATAAGCATTAATCAATAATTTTATATATGCCCTGTTTGATTGCTGAAAGTTTGCCTAATGCAGTTCAAATAGAAAAGGCTTATTCGAATGCTGGCGGGATTAAGGTGCTGTCTCTAGTTTAATATTTGCAGCCTAACAATTACTGCTGACATCTTTTGATTTGAGAATGACCTGATTCAGCTTTTTCCATATGCTTTATTTTTCTTTTAACTTGGCTGATTGAAACATGCTGCATTTGAAGTCTGGAAAATGCATCGTTACATTTTTAAAATTTATAGAAATTGTGGGTCTGGACTGACTTCTTAATGGTTGGCGTGGCTTTAATAAAATGTTCATTTCCCACTTATGGTAGCGCTGAAGTAGGGTACTGAGAGGAGAACATTTAGAGAACACTCCTATCTTACAATAATTGTGCATGAAGTAGCTGTTTTCATAATGTGATATCCCTTCAATGGAAGGTCAAATTGCTAGTCTGAGAACTTAAGGTTTTATCCATGACACCTATTGATCGGAGAGCAGATTGGCATTGATGCATATTTATTGGGCTTCAGATTATACTTTTTTGTTTGTTTTTGAACTGTAACAATTTATTCACTATAATGTTCTAGGTCATCTTTTTGTCTCTGGAACAAGAGAATGGATGGGAAGGGAGAGGCGTGTGTGCTTGTGCATATCTGTACCAGTTGCCTAATTTTTATGACTTGATATTATTGATCTTAATTTTTAGCGATCAGCTTTATGATGTGAAAAGTACTGTGATTTATGAAGGAAGACGTGATTCACTAGCATGTCTTGTATTTTTGCTCTTTTGGTCTGTTCAAAATATATGTTCTTTGCTCAACAAGGATTGTGTTTTTCTTATGTTGGGAGTGTTATTCTCACCTATGGATTGAACAAATTTTTTTCTTGCTCTTAGGCATCCAAAACTTTCAGTAAAGCTGAAGTCTCTTTGCATAACAAGAGAACTGATTGTTGGATCATTATTAAGGACAAGGTAAGGCCTGAGCTCACTGCTTAATTCTCCATATGAACCTTGGAGTTTGTGACGATATTTCTGCAATTTTAAATTTCTTATCCTTTTTTCTCTCACTTGTTTTCTATAATTTCAGGTGTATGATGTTACCTCATATGTAGAAGAACACCCAGGTGGGGATGCCATCCTAGCACATGCTGGAGATGATTCAACTGAAGGGTTTTTTGGGTATGAATCTACCAGCTGAAATAGTTTTCTTTCTTAAAAGTGATGTGGTAGTAAAAAGAATGTTTTCCTTTGGGTCTGTCCTCAAGTATGTAAAGAATGCTTGTCAGATGACTGCCCTTATCAGCCTTGTTCTTGACTCTGCATTATTTAGGATCATTTCAGCGTTGATTGCACTATAACAATCCCATGCATTGCTTAAACTATTTAGAATCGAATAACAATCCCATGCATTGCTTAAACTAGTTAGAATCGATTGGTAAAGATTTGTCAGACTTTGAGCTGGGACAGCACAGCTTTCCCTTAACTGGGTGCAGACATTAGTTGCATCTTGAAAAACACATTATCTCAAGAAATAACAAAGGCAATACATAAACTAAATCGATATGTTGAAATTCTCAATGCATCATCTTCCAAGCTTCCAGCCTTATAGTAAAATCATGTCTATGTATCATAATTTTCTGCATCATCATTTTCGCTTGTAATTAATCAGCACAAGCTGCAATTGTTTGTTGTGATATAGTTCCAGTTGTTTGATAACTGTTGGAGTCATACTTTTCTTTATGTCCACGGAAAATGTTTTTTTCATCATTAAATACAACGCTCTTGTCCCTCTTTATCTTGCCCAATCATGTTATATCCATAGGTTTCCCCCCATACATTCATTACACCATATTTATCTGCAGTAGATTGCCTTGCACCCTTACCCTCGTTTCCACCTTGTGATTTTATACTTGTAGGCCGCAACATGCAACAAGAGTCTTTGACATGATTGAAGACTTCTACATTGGTGATCTTGAGCGGTGACATTCGTTGCAGATTTTGGTTTGTAAAATTATACTGAGAAGGGCACTTCAAGAATATTATTCCGATGGCCTTTCGGCTACTTTATGTAACATTTGTTTTGTATCATGCAAACTTTTACCAATTATTACTTTTTCAGAGACCATCAAGCAGTTGTTCTCTCCATTTAACTACGTGACCTGATAGCGTAAGCCTTAAGCATATGAAATTGCAAGGTCATAACATGAACGATGAACATCGGAATCGTAAAAAAGTTTTCAATCATTTGCACTCTCCATGTATCTATTAACTCATTCTAGATAAGACACTAAAATATGGAGATCTAACCGTTGATTATGCCAGACCATGTCACTTCAAAAGGTTTCTGCCGTTACAAAATTAGGGCATAAACTCAAGGAATGATGGTTAACGTTAAATGAAAATCTTGCTTGCAAATGGAATCTACTTTCGGTCTCAACTGCAGTGCAATAAGAAACATGAAGCCAAATCAGATGTGCCATCCTCAAGCTTCGGACATCCCAGGATTTATGTGACCAAGCCAATCTAACTGCACAAAACAGCCAATTTTTGTCCAGAAAACCAATTCTCTTACATTTGATGATGCACAATTTTTTTCTGCAATGCTCAGACCATGCCTTCCCTAGCCAGTTGTTGCCAGTCCATAACTAATGGAACTGATTTCTGGCAGCATCTGAATTTAGACTTGGGAAAAATAACAAAAGCACTATGTCCTCGGATGAATCCAGTGAACATTTGTTTACTGCGGAAAATGGAAATGCCCACTTGGGGCAGCACCTCACATTACATCTTTTTAACAATAAATTACAGAACAAATGTGTGCATATTACAAAATCAACCCATACTGAGGGGAGGAATTGAAGAATCAAATTTGATTGAATGTGAGAATAAAAAAATGAGATAAATTCCTAAATCACTAAAATCAATCAATCATGGACTAAACCAACCTATCCAAGAGTACCATTTAATCCACCAATAATATTTGTTCCCCAAACCCTAACTACCCACCCCATCTTAAAAGATTCACAAGATATTTGGCTTGCTGAACCCATCTCTAGCTATCAAATTTCTTAGGTTGTCTCCACTGTTCCAAACTTCTAAGCAAAGCACCAAGGAATGACGTTTTGGGAGGAGCTCCCTTCTTCCCATATAAATTTTTCCACGCTAAGTCTGTGTACTTGGGGCCCATTCCTTTGCTTCTTTCAATCTGCAGAATTTAAAAAGAACAAAAGGACTGCTACTGAGAGAGTACCAACCACACAGTTTGTCTCATTGCTTAATCTGTACCTTTTCTAACCGTGATAAATCTCATAATACAACCCAAGCATTTGATTTTTTTTAAAAAAAAAAAAAAAAAACAGCATGAACTATTCAAATTATAGTAAGCGAAAGAAATCTTCATTTTGGACTTTCTACCCTTAAAAAGATTGCTTCCACCAGTATACAAACTAATAAAAAGGGATATCTAACTCAAATCAAAATTTGATACCTAAATTACTCAAAATGTGGTTGCAGCTACAACAAACTACTTAAAATAGGAAAAGATAACCCTTTCTCAATTTAGAAAAGACTCTGTGGCCTACCTTGCTTATCTTTCCATCCTTCAAGTGGTACCGGATACCAGACCAATTGATAGACTGAGAAAAATGGGAACGGAAGGCAGATATTGGATATAAAAAGTTATCCACCAGCATTGCAATAAATACCTGCCCATAACAAATCATTCTGCTTAATAACAAGTCACTGTCATAATGGCCCAAGCAGAGTATGTAGGTTGACTTTCTTCTAGTTGGTCATTGCCCTTCTGTGTTTGAGTGGTGAATCTTTGATACAAATTTGAATGCAACAGTTTCTTTGGTAATATATTTTACAACTTGCAGTTATTCATAAAAAGGGCCCATTTATTCAAGGCAATACCAATTTTTTGAACCATTAATATCATGTCCACAACAAAGTTTACCCAAGGCTGCAATTGTGCAAAATAAACTAGAAGTACTTACTAGGACCCAGTTATAAGTAGCAAGAGAGAGTCGAGGTGCCTCCGGGGAAAGCAAGTTGCATAGTTGAACTTCAATCCTCGTCAAGTTCCACATTGAGAAAAGTTCTGTAGAGGTGCATGCAGCTAGGCAAGTGACCAGTAACAACCCTGGGGCAAAGTATTTTGCTTAGCTGTAGAATTTTTTTGTAAGAACAATGCCAATGCCCTATTGTAGTAATGGTGTCTAGCTCTAGCTTCTTATTCCTAATATATGTAATTTTTTTCTTGGACAAATTGCAACCTATACATGTGGAAGGAAAGGAAAATTCTTAATTATTGGATCCATAGACAAAGGCAAAAGTGTCAACGTTATCTAGTACCCAGGTTGCAAAAGCCAGAGACCCAACCCATGGCACTGTCATGTATGAGCTAGAGATTATGGGTTTTGAAATGGCTTTGTACATTATTTGCTCCAACACTGTAAATGTGATTATTATGAATCAATTGCATGGAGATACATTGCCTATCATCATCTTTCAATCTTTGTTACGCATTACCAAAAGAAAACAATCCACATAAGGTCTAAAATGCCTATCATTACAACAATCCAAAACTTATCCATATTAGTATCATGGAAAAATCCAACCTAAACCCACCACTCCACCCCACCCCACATCACACCAAAAGAAAAAAAGTTCCTTCAGAATCAACACTGACCAGAAAAGGAGAAGTCGACGTGCTCACCATTGGAAATAAATGTAGTTTCCTCAAGTACATATCCTTGGAAATAGATTCGCAGTGCCGCTGCAACATGGGTCATGGCCATAAAGTATGGCACCACGAATCCCCATGAGAAATAGCAATGAGTAGAAAATAATGCACGGTTCATTATCCAGTTAACCTTGGATGCATATGATTCCAAAACAAATGTTTGCTTCCTCAAGTAATTCCAGTACCTACACAAAGTCAATAAGTCAACATTGAAGGAAAAATAGCACATTTAAGTCTGAGCAAGCGAATATCACGAACCTTGAAAAGCTAAGATCACTAGAAAGGGGGTGAGGAAAAACAGCAACAGGAGGGGATGTAATGAGCCTCTTATGAGCACCTAAGGAAAGTTGTGAAATGGAGAATGAGAGAGGCTGATTCTAAGTCCAAACAAATTGTCTTCAAAGAAAATTAGTTCATTACCTGCTATAGCTGCAAGAGTCATGTCATCAGAATATCCACCATCTCGTAGTGCAGATACCACACCACAGCGGTCATATCTAAAATCATCAGCATGCATCTGAAAAAGAGGAAAAAAAATCTGGACCAATCAAAAAGCATTCATTCTGTACAAAATCTTAAAAAGGTAGTAGAAGCTACTTGCCATCATGCACCCTCCCCATAGAAAGAATGTTTTTCCACCAGTGGCAAACCCCATCGAACAAGGCTGTTACAGAAAATATTTGACATGTTAAACAGTTAGGACCATATTAACTACATGAAATGAAGAAAGCTTCCGTCATATCAAAAGCAAGGTAACAATTAATAGTCATAACAGTATCAGCCTACAAATTCAGAGTTCCACACTCCAATAGTTTGCTTGAAAGAAGCTCAAATCCATGTGCCACTCAACAAAATTCAATTCCGGACTTACATCCCTGCCCCAAACAACATAAATGAGGCAGTTTCCATGGTTACTTGAAGGCATTATAATTACAGAGCTTTCAAGTTACAAAAGCATTAAATATTTTTAATAATGGTATCATAATAATTTTTCTTACTACTCAATAACTTACTAATTACATCGTAATTCTGCTAGTTACTCATAATATTGTCCAGTAACCACTCAAAAGGCACAGTGTTACCTTCTAAAGGAAATAAATAATATTCACTTTGTAACAAGTAAGCAATTGCAAGGAGTTAAATTGATTCACTTAATACACAGTAATTTAGCTAATTGCTCGTAATTATGATAGTTAGAAATTAAGTATAATTTCAATAAAAAAAGAAATTTGTTACCTTAGAGAAAAAAAATAATATGATTTAAGTTGTAAAGAAACCATTTTTAAGTAATTATGAACTAATAAATATTTACACTTATTAAGTTGCAAACACTATTTTATTATTTCGTAAACTTGAAGGTGCTATAATTATAATGCCTTGAAGTAAGCATAGCAAGTCCCACAAACATGAAATTTTGATCATACCTTTACAAGATACCAAAATTAAACTATTAGTATGCAAATATAAGCAAATTTAAAGTCCAGCATGGAGTTTAAGTTTCTGAAAATGTTCAAGTTATGAAACTTTGTTAAGTCTCATGACTATTTTTTTTTTTTTTTAATCTCTTGTTGGGAACATCACACATGTTTTTGATAAAAATGCTTAGGATAGATGGTGCTGGAACTGGGTCTGCAATCATGTGTATCTCGCTTCACCAAGTCGAAGTAAGTAATGCCAAAAGTTAATCTACTATCAATTAGTGGTTATAAAAACTGAAAGACTGGAATGAAGAACCAACTTTGCTTGTAATACCATAAAGAAATAAATAATTTGAGATGCACTAATGTCATAAAAGCTCAGAGAATGAAAGGAAAATTACAGAAAGGTCAAATAAGGTGGTGTACCATGTGATATTCATAGATGCAGTAACTTCCTAAGCTCCCAGAAGGTAGATCAAGAGGATATCCAGTTTGAATAAATATCTGCATTTCATTGCCATAAACTTAAGATTATAAAATGAGTAGCGTAGATCACTACAACCATAACCATAACAAAGACCTATACCTCAGGATTTTTTTCCATCTCAGCAGTTAGGGCTCCAATTGAGCCAGGGTGCAGCCTAACATCATCATCCAAAAACAATACATACTTGCTGTCTTTGTGCATTTGCTCCACACCAATCTTGACAAAAGCAGAACAACGCACTAGTGATATTCCACTCAAAAGTGTGGTTCTAGGAAGACCAATGAATAGAATTTATGCAACAAGTATAAAGTGGATTGACTTTTGTATAAACTTGCAATATCCTAATTTTCTAAAATACAACTTGTAAAGGCATCACGTGATGTCAGTCCTTTTTGGCAACTGGTCTAACCAGAGGTTCCAACTGAATAAAAAATTAGGAATTTATATATAGCTATGTCCTAGAAACAAATACTACAATGCAACACATTGTAAGATGCAGAAAAGAAGTATGAACACGAACTAAATTAAGGAAAGGGTAACCGGTATAAGATTAAACAAATGGTAAACCTCTAACATACCAACTGGTTGTGAATTTTCTGACTACAAGTCGTTGATAAGCCAGCTACAACAATTCTAGCATTGATATTATCCTGCTCACAAGAAAAATAATTACAAGTCAGGAAAAAAAGGTAATTCACAGACCCAACATATATTTAAAGGATGCAAAAGACAAAAATGTAGTGACAGTGTCAATGATTTTCGCAAGATCAACAAAATGAGAGCCTATGTGTTTTGGTGCAAGTCTATAAATTTTAGTCCATACTTTATATTTTGGTACTTGCTAACTTATTTGTTGACTTGGAGACTAAACTCATGATTTTTGTTAACTCTATAAAGTTGCCTAAGATATTTTACAAAGAAAAGAAAATGAACACATTTTACCATGAATGAAAACACGATTAATGATGTTCCATTAAAATGTGGAATTTCAAAGATGGACAAACTAATTGGGAACTAAGGAACCAATTACATAGGTGCCAAATCATATATGAGCAGTTCATTTACCATTTAATTTCTCTCAGTACTGGCATTGGAGAATATATGAGCAGTTCATTTACCATTTAATTTCTCTCAGTACTGGCATTGGAGAATCCATGATTTGAAGCACAAAGTAAGCAAGTGAAAAATAAATATACCTTTAAATCTGATATTAAGGCAGAAACAGCATGGTAAGCAGGATCTTCTGTACTTTCCACAATGAAAAGGAATTCTAGAGGACCTCCATAAAGAGATGTTACCTGCGCTTAACAATACCTAAGTCATACACAATGGCTCAATTAACATTGTATGACTTCTTCCAATTAAAAGGACAGCTACAGCATAATACAACTAGCAGGAAGATATATGAACCCTAAAAAGCAAAATCACAAATAATAATAAAAAATAAAAATAAAAACTTTATCAAGATGCCTATGTATCAGCTCAAATCAGAAAATGAAACCTGTCAGCCAAGAATCTTCAGATCTAGGAAACAAAGAGAAAAATAAACAATGGCAGGAAGAAAATATATCAAAACTAGAATATGAAACATACAGCACGCTCGTTTGACTCAAAACTCTTTTCTACCCAAAAAAGGAACGGAATAATCAGCAGTTTAACTAATTTGATGAAAAACTCAGAAAAGCAGAAAAGGTTTAGTTGCTTCTCAATTTTGTGATGGGGAAGAAGTAAACAAAAGGAAAGGCACCTAAGAGTGAACAACTTACTTGACTTCTCCAATTGTGTAGATTATGTTCTCCAAACCCCTTTAAAGGCATAACCACTGTAACTGTAGGTAGTTTGGTCTGATTAGAGTGCTCAAGCTCATTAATATCTCGACAAAGAAATGCAAAGCTGTTGCCAGCTCTCATACTATCTTTTATCCATTTGATCTCTCTATTCCTGTGAGAAAAAAGAAAATGTTGGTAACTTCTCGAAGAACAACACAATTCAAACTTCAAATATATATATAAAGACAAGTCATGAATAAAAGACAATAAAAGATGAGCGGTGAGTACATTACAAATCAAATTTAAACTATATTCACTAGATCTCAATACCTGACATAAGCGGCACAAGCCCACCCCAAAGCAAGAGTTAAGCAAATTAGACATCCCTACAGCAAGAGAAAAGAGCATCAGAGAGAAAAAGAAAAAGAAAGGACGGCGAAGAGCTGCTAAAATTAAAATGCAGCTGCAAAAGAAAAAAGAAAGCACCTTTTGCTTTTTGACAATTACGAATCAGGTGATGCTTAAAAGGAGGCGAAAAAAAAAGTAAATAGCCGTCATGATTTACATAACGAAGCCAAACTGACTGACCCTATATCTCTCGAGCAAAATTATTAGTCAATTTCTATTGATATACTGAAAGAATCATATATGACCTGAAAGAATCATAGACGACAAACTGAACATAGCTAATGCCTGATTCTTCTTAAATGCCATCATAGAAACCAGGCTATCCGAATGTAGTTAACATAGTCTGCTGAATATCATCTAAACATTTCCTTTCCTAAACCCATTGCACGCTACTCGTACCATCAATCATTGTCAAATTTGACTTGACTAGTTACTGAAATTTCGAACACCATCAAACATAAAGCAGTTAACCACGTTTATTTTAATGGAGAAAGAAAATTCAGAGGAGCCAAAGCAACTTTCCTAATTACTCCAATCTTAAAGGATTAAAGAAAAAAATTTCAAATGCAGGACATTCTTTTGCCGCAAATTACTAACTTTATCTCGCCCAAAAAAATAAGAAGTCGAAAACTATCCAATACAATCCGTGTACGTAAATTAACTTCCAAAGAAAAACTCAGATCCAAATACAGAAAAAGTGTATAAAAATGAAAGACAAACAAGATACCAACTTTTGAACGAATGTGAAAATTGAAAAAATTAAAAATTATGAAAGAAAGGGAAGGAAATGAAAATTTCAATTCAATTCACTGCAGCATTCCATCAGAAAACGAAAAGAAACAATAAAATGGAAAACAAGGTGGTATTTTGCGTCAACATTGTGAGAAACGAAAAGGAGGCGGGTGGATCTAAAATTGAAAGAAAGAGTAACGAACCTGGATCTGAATAAAAACAGCGAGAGGACTACAAAATGCTTTACTCAGAGAGAAGAGGAACCCATCAATTGTCCCCGACATTGTTTCCTCTTCCTCTTCCTCTTCGTCACCCTCTCTCTTTCTCTCTCTAAAATCCCAAACCAAATCCCTCTCTCTTCCTCTCCCTCTAAAAATATAAATATTTATTCAAATCTCCATTGAGGGAAAAATTGGAGGAAAAAAAACAGAGAAGAAGGGAGAGAGAAAATAGAAGGAAAAAAAGTGAAAAACCGTAGACCGCGTAATTTTTATACTAATAATTTGAAGAGTGGAAAAAGGTCAAAACAGTAATTAATTTTGCTTTCCTTTTATCTCTCGCCTTTTTTTGGCGTTTCTCTGTTAAAATTTGCAAAGCACAGAGAGAAAATTTTGGGAGAGCGAGGAGGGAGAGACCGTTAGATAAGGGTGGGTTATAAAAAGTCAATGAAAGAGAAGAGAGGGACTCCAGTCCGCAGCTGCTGCCCGAGAATATACATACATTGAAACAGGGTTGAATTAGGGTAACTTATGTTTTTGTCCTCATAGAATTTTCAATATTTTATTTTTACCCCTATATTTTAAAATATTCTAGTGTTATCTTTATACTTTTTCAAAAGTTTTAATTTTATCCTTTTTTACTAAATACTAACAAACAAAGAGCTACCTTCTTTTAAGATTTTTTTTTTTTTTTAACAAAATATGTTGGAAATCAAAATGTCTCTATCTTGAAAAAGAAAAATCCTAATGCCAGTTGAATTATAGAGTTGTAATTCATTGGTAGATTTTGTTTTATTCTTCTTTTTTTTTTTTCCTTTTCTCTCTTTTCTTCATGAAAATCCTCATAGATTTTATAATGTCTTGGGAAGAACTTAAAAAACCAAATTTAAAAAGTAGATCATTTAATGATTGGTGTAATCATGGAACATTTTGGAAACTGTAGGGTGACATGGAAAAATCTCAAACTATAAGAGCGGAAATGGAACGTTGTTGAAGCTATATGGGTAAAAATAAAGTTTACCCATTGAATGAAAAGAGGTTATTTTTGGGATTGACTCGTGTGTAGACTACAGTTGGCACGCGTGGGGTTCTAAAAGGCAAAAAGCATCCTCCTATTCATTTTTTTTATTTCTTCACCAGGGGTAAAAACAATTTTATATATTTTATTTTATCTGTGTAGGACGGGTAAAAAAAACTAATAATATATATATAAGAATGAAATAAGGGAAAAAGATGCTGCTTAACTATTCGAATCTTCCTTTCCCTCATTCTCCGTCGCTTTTATAAAACCTTGGCATTTTGTTTTTTTGTTTTTTTGTTTTTCCTTTTTTTATGTTTTTTTTTAAATTAATTAATACTGTATAAGAGTGCTACGCTATCGCTGTGCCATGTGCTATGTTTTTTCTTCACTTGTACGTAGACAACTTGATAATGTCCACCCCCATTCAAAATTTAGAAAGATTGGAGAGGAAGGTCACCCCTCTAAATTTTCTGTAAACTTCTCTGCAGTTTTTCTTGATTAATATGGTAGATGTTTGAGTATGCCCTGTATTTCTAAATTTAAAGTTTTTTTGGCATTAATATGTGCTTATTGTTACGTGTTATGTTTGTTTTTCCATAAACTATTAAGATATATTTTTTATGAAAAAAAATATTTTATTGTTATTATCATCACCTCGTCTTTGTCTTCCTTATCCTCTTTCTACTCCACGGCCACTAATATCAAAATCACTTTATCTTTTTTACTATTATCATAATTGATAAGATTATTTTTTTAATAATTACTTTTACTCATATTAAAATTAAAAAAATTAAATTTTATTTTAATTTTTTATTATTATTCTAAATATAATATGAGAATATAAATATCATTTCAATTTCTTAATTTTCATTAGGATATCTGGATTTTTATTTCAAACTTTTTATTTTTTTAAACCAAACGACTCCTAAAAGTTCTATTTTGAACGAGGCTAGTTGACATCTCTCCAAATCTTCTTATTTTATTTTATTTAAGGATAAATGAGTATACATATAGACTAGTCGTCATCCCTTCAACAAAAATTATTGTATCTTTTGCACTTGTACCTATATAAGTGAAGGGATCTAATTGATTATTCCTATACTAAGACAAACAAAAATCATATACTTAATGTTAATTTTCTTCGTCCTCTTGAATTAAGCGTGGCATTAGCAGCAGGCTTGTTGATTTATCGTGGGATCAACGCATAGATACGTGCACGCTAATCTGGGGCATAAAATAATGGCTGGTCAATCTTCAAAGAAAAAGACACTTTGGTGATATTTAAAACCAACACTTGGCCATCAGGCCGGATTCTGTTTCGTCACAGAAATGACCGAATATGCTTTAAAATCTTATAGTATTTAAGGAGTAATCAGTGATGTGTATGGTAATTATTTCATAAACTTACTTAAAAAAAAATAGACATAAAAAAATAATTAATTAATTAAAAAAATAAATATAAAAAAATTTTTAATCATTTTTTATGAGTGTGGATGTGATTTTATATCTATTTTTTAAAATAAATATATAAAATAATTACTGTATATGTTATTAATTATTTAAGTATTATAAAATTTATGGACGAAAATAATTTGGTTTGGATAATCAAAACCAGTTATAAAACTAGACAAAAAGTTCCACGTTAAAAAACCCTATGTGGGTGCGTGCATGAATAATTTCTATCTATCTCGTGTATTTTTAGGTCACGTGACTTTGCCTGTTAAATTCTTGGAAAATATCGCCAAGTACATGGAACATGAACATGTTGTGGATGCCTACTCTGATTGGCAGCTACTTGGAAAGAATTTGAGAGATTAAACTTGCTGCAAGCAATAAATTAAATTTAGTTTCGTGGTGATCACAAGGAAAACGTTAAGGAAGAATAAAAAAAAAAAAAATCAAATTTTTGGGCAAGCAATGGGCTGTCAATAGGCTGGTTGGTTTGACGTGTCATAAATCATAACAAAGAGGCAGAGAATGGCACTTGGTGTAAATATCAATAGGGACCACATGGTTGCCAGCTTTTGTTTCCCAGGATCATGTTAGCTAGGAATAAGATACCAGCTTAATTAATGCTCATCATTTGGCCCAGTGCAGGTATAGTTTTGGAATATTAATTTCTCACTAATATTTTCAACCAAAAACTACCAGTCTATATATTTGACTAGAATTCCCTTCTTGCCTCCTGTTTCCCACTTCTCAGATTTGAAGTTTGAAAGATCCTGCACGCTTATCAAACATAGCTATTCATTATGGGCATATATAGTGAAGTTTACCAAAGAAGAGGGCCTCCAAAAAATGACCCTAAAACTAAACAGACAACTTCTTCTCTGGATTAAGGTGTGGCCTGCCAGGAACCTCTTTCCTTCAATGGCTAGCTGGTTCTTCTATTATTTCGGAGGCCAGAACGCCTGCAGAGAATTTATAGTCCTTTTTATCTTTCTGATACCTCCTGTCCCATAGTTTGGCAACGACATTTTCGAGAGATGATGACATAATGACATAAAACATCCATCAAGGCATGACATTACAAAAGCCATGCATGCAAACCGAAATCACAAATCACGAGTTTTATTTTTTTTATGCAATTAAAATTAATTAATCAATAACAACCAATGCAAAAGTAAATAAACACAACCATAATTAACATGTGAATTTTTTATGTGAAAATCCTGGCATAGAGAAAAAATGTAGAGACTTTAGTATATTCAAATTCTTTCACTGTATCAAATAATGAAATATAAGGTTCTTTCTTAATCTCAACTAGATGATGCACATGATTAAATTATAAATTAGTCCATCTCGTTTTGAAAAATAAATTAATTACTCTTTCTCATTTTAAAAACTAATTATTTAGTTCATATATTTTAAATCTACTTGTAGCTTAGTCATTTTTGTTCTTTTTTAATTTATTTTGATTTTCTTATTTTAAAAAATATATGAGAAAGATTGATGAGAAAAGAAAATATTTTATAAAATAAAAATAATATTAAATTAAGCATAGTCAACACATGTCAACGAATTAAATAATGGTTTTTTCAAAATGAGAGGGACTAGTTAATTTATTTATTAAAAATAAAGGGACTAATTTATAATTTACTCAAAGATACATCAAAATTATCATTACAAAGATGGATTTAAATAATAATAACAAAGAAAAAGAGTACATCTCACCAAATAGATTTTTATAATATACTAATGATGAAAGTTTTCCAACAATCAACACCATTCAGTTGTAGAACTCGTTATCGAAAATAACATATCAAAATTTCATCTTAATCGAGTTTGAAATCATTGTCTAATTAAGATAATAGAGATGAAAAGCATCTTTTTATTTCTCTCTTGACCGCAAAAAATTTTAACTCTTTTTTTTTTATTGTTACTATTGTTGTTGCTTTTTTTGGTTATTGTTATTTGTTGCATTCCTTGCAATTATGAATGACTTGGTTTTATGCTCAATTAAAATTCACATGAATGGTCACTTACTTAACCAACATTAGTTTAAGAGAATCCTTTCTTTTTCTTTTCCTTTTATTTTTCTTATTTTTTATACATGTGTTTTGTGTTAATGTAAGTATCCAAGATCCAACCATATTTGAATAGATTTGACTTATTGTAATATTGTATTATTTATTTTATTAATAAAAAAAGTTTTTCTATTAATTTGTATTGTATATATTTATTTATTGAATAGAATTAGATAGAAGATCATAGCATTCGTATTAATAATTGATCAAAAGATATGAGACAAACATTAATATACTTAAATAATATCATTAAATGTCTCAAATTGTAGCACTATCAAGAATGGACGTTGACTATATGTGGTTAGACTCGTGAGTGTTATGCTCATGCTATAAGACAACGATAATGAGATATCACACATTTTGGCACGGTGATGTCAAAACAAGCACTTAGGTGATTAATGTTGGAGAACATATCGATGGACTTGACTCGTCATGAGAACCCATTTAGTTTAGTCTATGAAAATCTCATACAAGATCGGTACAATTAGTCCTTTAACTTGAATTCATCACAATTATCT